GGTGCTATGGCAATATATATATATATATATATATATATATATATATATAATGGTGATTGGTATTCAGTACTGGTCGAACAAAGATGCAATGTACACATGCTGCTTTGATTCTTTAGATCCGTTTGCTTGAATTGGATAACCAGTCTTAAACGGTAAATATACCTTATTCTTAGATATCTTCACTGTCATCGGCCCGAGCAGTGGACTGAAGGAACTTTGTGTTTTTACTTTCCAGTAGTGCTCTATCAACAAAACTATCGATTTTTCCTAATGATTGCACAGACGAAGCAAACTCATCCTAGTATCCTTTCAAAATTCCCGATTCAACAATATAAGCCCAAAGGTAGTTGAAACAGCTTCACTGTTGTGCAAGCTTAAAAGAACGGGTGCACGAAAGTCGGTATACCTTTTCGTTGAGTCCAGACAATCAACGTGGGGGACGGTATGGAGTTATGAAGACTTCACTGCAGTTGAACGGAATGTGCCAGTGTCCCACTGTTTTTAGTGAATAACTGCAAATCATATATTCTCTTAGACAATCATATTGGTGTGAGAAAGGTTCATGGAATCGACCTCCCGGGAAGCCTGTGTTGATGGTCAGGTGCGCCGGGATTGTTTGGCCTAGAGAGCTTGCCGGAAAAGACAACGTTTCTGTCTAAACGTCAATTCATCGTTGGCAAACTGATAGTCACGATTGACTGATGTCCCTCCGCGACATTCCGTCTGATCCCAGAAGTGTGGCACTCCACATCTTCTGGTACGCGTACACTGATTTTACTGATTTATCTTAAGAGGTCAGAAAAACATTTAGGAAAATCCTCCCAAAATGTACAGCTCCGTAACAGAGGAATCAGTAACTCACATTATGCAAACCCAATCAGGCAGTCGTAACGCAGAACAAATAAACAGATCCTGTGGAAGCATAAGTAATGTGGCTTTCTGCTAAATTAACTATAGCGATCGGAGCCAGGCATTTTGCTGCATTCGTTCGATAGTGTCTAGATTTCTTTGAGGTGAACTAATTTATCGTACACATTGCACGTTCTCCCTATTGTTTTCAGCTACTTTGCAATAGATTCCTCTTGATCTTTGCTGCGTGACCTTACGGCGCTTCGCAGATGTTTATATTCAAAGGCGTACATTTCTTCTGGTCTGATCTAGGTGATGCATTGACTTTGTCCTATGGGGGTATCTGGGACGATCAAGGCCGTCTCCTCGCCAGTCTTGCGCAACAAGGTCTAATGCGAACCCAGCCAATGACTCCTGTTTCTTCTTCGAATAGATTAGTCGAAGAAGGTATGGAAAACGGCAAGTGAACAATGCGATCCGGATCAAATATCTGCCACCGGGATCCATCCACCTTCGGTCACATGAAACGTAACTAATATATAATCCTGTTATATCCACCTTTCTCCACATCCTGATATGTTTTCGCATTCCTTCGAAACTCATCTTCATGTCATCGCGTTTTTCGTTGGATGCACCAGTTCGGTTTTGAAGCATCCTTAGGATGATTTCTGTGATACAATTTATGGCACACTGATATTTTTCTCAATTACGGGCCCTAGGTCATCCGGAATCAGGCTTTTCGGTTACTAGTCTATAAAATGCGAGAAGAGAGCCATCAAATTAACAGCGGTTTACCACCACCACCCATCAATAGCAGGTAGGGGTGTAAAGACATTGGGACAGACAAATGTGTGGCGTGCATTGATCTGTATCACCGAAAGCTGTTTATAAGGCCGTAGAAATCTTACATTTAGGGAAACCGTTACCTCAACATTAACCGCTCCATATAATTCTCCTCGTACTAATGTTATCTAGGATGTCTCTACTCTTGGGTCGACGAGTTCCTTTTTCTGGACTGGGGTGTCCAGGGTTGTTAACATTCGGTTAGAATCAGGGATAACGTGTATGTTCCAACGTCCAGCTCCGTAGCACTCAAATGAAAAAGCTGCATGCTCTGACTGTTGAGAACTGTCGATACTTGAAACGTTTCTCAAAATTTAACATTGATACCGTACTATAAACTTTCCTGAAAAACCCAGCCCTATTAGAGGGTTCATCAAGCCCGTTCTTCTGTGTTATTAGTATTGTGGACGTCATTAAGTTCTGTAGGCGATTTTATTCAACAATGCCAAGCAAGCCTTATAGTTGAACATACTTTTCAGCTGGTTTCTGAAAACTTCGACGACCCACGACCAGTTCCCCTGTCTTTAGGTCCACCATGTAGGTGTATTCGTGAAGTTTCTGTCAGCCTTGTATTCGTTCAGAACCCAGGTTGTACGGGATTTGCGAAATATTCTCATTTGCACGCTAATTTAGTTTCAACCGGGGAAGAAAGACACAATAAACGAGAGATTTCGTTGGATTAAGTTTAGTCTCCCATCAGAGTACAATTGGTGTGCCGATGAGTGTATTTCGCGGGTTCATTGATAGTTAATCCTTGTGGGAGTACCAACAGTGTGCGCCTCATGAATCCGGAGTGAGTCCAACTGGCACCATTCGGGGCTGGAGTTTGAGCATGTCAGTTAGCGTCAGGTCGCTGACGGGGCATATTACTGCTCGTTCTTCCTTAACAAGTTTCCCTTCACATAATCCCCGGATGACCGAATTCATATGGTTTTGAAGAGGTTATCATTCTATTCAGATGACTTCTGGAAAGAATGGTCGCCATAGTAAAGTCCGACGCGTTTTTCTTCGCTAGGTGGTTGATTGTCATGAACCAAACCATATGATTTTAGCACCAGGTTAAAGGTACCTAACTTTGAAAGCAAGCTTTCATACCTAGCCGCTGTGATATTTCACTTTATTTTGGGTTTGAAGCTTTAGATATTCATTAATCTCTCAAGAAACGACACAAGTGGTTTGAGAGCGAATTTACTGACCGGAAGGTTCGTGGTTCGAACTCGACCTCCGCCTCTCGACTTCCTCTGTCTAGGCTTGGGCAACCTGGCAATATCCCAGCCCTCGTACTTCATTCGGGTGGCATGGCAGCTAGGCACCGGAAGGGTGTTACAGCTGAACGATTTTTTAATCTGTCATATCTGCTCAATGATGGTCACCAACCCATGTGATTTAGGTATTTGCGAGTGAATTTGTTCTGTTCAATCGGAAAACACGAGTCAAGATCACTTATCATCGCATAGTCTACTAAAACACCGAGAATAACAACTTCAGTAAGGTTCCAAATTTTGCTTGATTTAGTCCACTCTTAGAGAGCTTCCTCCTGCAATTGTCTGTTTGCAGCAGTTCCACGGTTGGGTGCATTGTTTCCGTGCAAATATCTCCATGCACTCACTTGACAGCTTTACTTGGCCCCACACAAGTTACCTTTAATTCCGTTGCTGAAGGATAAGATTGCATGTCTCGCGTGAGCTGAACAACCAGGACATTAATCTTGGGCGACGAATGTTTCGAAAATTCGCTACGCTTTTCTTGTGGTAACACTGTTCAAAGGTTACGCAAAACTCTTTGACAGCCCACAGCCTTTTTTGGCCCTACTTCGGGTTTATCAGGCAAGCGCAGCCCTCCAAACGAATCTCGCGAAGTACACTCATTTACACAACAGTCTGATTTTCGCGGAACACCTAAATGAATCCCAGCTGAATCTCTTCTTTATGACATTCTTTAACTGAATGTGCTACACAAAGGCCGCTTCATGTTTCAGTTGGTTTGGTATGTGGGATATCGCAGTATGCTTCTTAAGGAACACTGCTCGCTATGTGGTCACTCGACTATAATTCACTTTGGGCAACGACACGTTATTCCTCCGTCCATTCGGGTAATAATGCAGGCTGATCACACAACAGTATCAGTTGTGTTCTACTAAGGTCGTATATCTGTGAAAGACCCCACTTGACGCTGAATTAGCCGAGTGAGGGTAGCGCACGATTATTATTTTAAAACGAGTGGGTTGGAGATTCATCAATGTCGGATCTCAATGCCCCTCATCGATTGAGAAATTGACGGAGGCAGCGAATCAGATAGGCGAGGAATTAAATGGTAACCTGGGTATCGTAGATCACTCACCTGATAGAACGGGAGAGGCAGGAAACGTGAGGAAATGGTGAGTTGTGTTGACCCATAGTAGACGTGCTACATAAGTTTAGTGAGGGCTTATTCCATCTTACATTCCATAACTGGTTTATATTATGTGTTGGGGAAATGCAGGTTTCGCATGGAATTTTCAGTTTACAAGGCATTCTCACATTGAAGACAAACCTAAGGAGACGCCTTCCGGAACAGACTTCTGTCAGGATCATTCTGAGTAAAAAGGGAAATATTGAAGACTTTTTATAAATTCCAGAACGGTAGACTCGCTAGCGGAATCAAACGCTACGTGCGTGCTTACTAACCAGAAGGTCCGGTGTTTCAATCCAATCCGTGGTTGCTGATTGATCCTCTCTAGGCTCGGCAGCCTGTTAGTATATCAGCCCTGGTTCTTGCTTCGGCAGATTTGGCAATCATGCACCGAACGTGTTTTACAGCGGAACGACTTATTTTTATATTTTATCATTAATCACCCGTCGGTTTGGACTGATATATTTTGTGCGCGCTGAATATTGTATGGACAGAAAATTTATTGTCATCCTATTTTCATCACATACCGTCCGTGTTGAGACTCCTGTTCTTCTTTCCCCAGTCACCGGTTAATTCTGTATTTATACGGAAGTGAGTGTATTCCGCGAATTTTTTGCAATTCAGGTTTAAGTAGAACATACGGTTGGCGGAAGTTTGAGGACGGCTCCTACATGATAAGCTCCAGGAAGGGTAAAAGTTCTTATGGGCTTTTGAAGTTTTTTCTGCAAACTTGTGAATGGTTTTATTAAAAAAATTACTACGATATCTCGGATTTCGTACCAACGGAGATGTCAGGATACTTTTGTGCAGCACATTCGGTGGATCAATTTTCTAAACGTGAGATCCAGCTGCGGTTTATTTGAGTCTTCTGGGAAAACCAGATTTGTTTGCAAATGGAGATATTTAACGAAATTGGTACAGTTTGTTGAAAGAAGACATCTATACACCGCGGATCTGTTTGGATCCTTTGAATGTACTAGAATTCACGTAAGTCGGTTAGCATTGGAAAACTTGCAGCCAAACAGCTCAACCCAACGATGAACCAAAGCCCACAAGCTAGACATTATCTGAATAACTGAAACTGATCTAAATATCTCTCCAGTAGTGCAAATAATCGAATTCTAGTAATATACACTCATTTGCAAACTAATTTGTTTTTTTTTTCGAGAGACTTACCTGGAACCCAGCTGAATCTGTCGTTTGTGATGTGCTCAGGCAACTGAATGTGCTGCACCAGGCCGCCTCATGTTACATTACAAAGGTATACATGTATCGTGATATTTCAAATGTCGTAGCGACTGATACATGAGGTGGCCTGGTGCAGCACATTCAGTTGCCTGAGCACATCACAAACGACAGATTCAGCTGGGTTCCAGGTAAGTCTCTCGAAAAAAAAAACAAATTAGTTTGCAAATGAGTGTATATTACTAGAATTCGATTATTTGCACTACTGGAGAGATATTTAGATCAGTTTCAGTTATTCAGATAATGTCTAGCTTGTGGGCTTTGGTTCATCGTTGGGTTGAGCTGTTTGGCTGCAAGTTTTCCAATGCTAACCGACTTACGTTAATGATAACGCAAGCTCGCGGTTGACTAGATATGTGAAAGAATCCTCGGGAAGCATGAAAATGTGCATGAGAACAGTGGGATGCGAACATGTTAAACAAATCAGCTATAGGTCGTAGACTGCAATATGCGACTGAAAAGAAACGAATCATGCTCGAACACATATTCCCCTGACTATTAACACCAAACAAACTTAGGAAGAACGAAGCACAAGCAACTCGTAGTAGCGGAGAAACACGTACCTATCAAATGATTCAATTCTAACTTCAAGGGCTCCGCCGGTCTAGAATATTTAGCCTTCAGATCCGTCGGCCTCAGTCAGGACACTCAGCAATCGATACGCCAAACTATCGTCCCACTCATCTATTGTAGAATGGCAATAGTCAGCCTCAAAGTAGACTAAACCGTTGCTATTTTGCCAGTTGAAAAGGAAAAAAGACAGTCAACTTCGGCAAAGCGGGATGTATCGTCAACTCCCATGGTGCACTCAGCAACACGGTACGCACTCCTCAGAAGGACAAAACGCGCCCGCAAAAAGACCCCCTGCCATTTCACGAAGGAGCAGCAATGAAAAATGAGGGTACGTGGAACGGTTTCACCCTCAGGAACATCCACATACGATATCTCAAAAGAAGTATGGAAGCAGGTTGAACATCTCTCTAGTGGATCTCAGCATTCAGTGGACTGCTTAGGGGGAGACTAGGAGGCAAAACAATGGTATTGTTTCAGAGAGGCTTGGTAAACAATTGGTTGATTCGTTGTTGGTCAACCTTTCGCTTTTGACGCAAAGTAAATAAGTTGACCGAGTTTTAAGCTGTTAGAGTACCATTCGCTGGGATTTCTTTCGGTTAGCTGACTTAATCGGCGCTGGGTATCAGTCTGAATTTCTGA